ACCGAACCCGGGACTCTTTGGTCCATAGGCCAATGTTCCAACTGCTGAGCCACACTGGCCAGGGCGAGTATAGGATTCTTACCAGTGGTTTGGGCAGCCCAAATGAGAACAGTGGTCTCTTGGTGTGCCGCACAGCGTGTGGGCTCGGGAATTCTTGCTGTACTTCCTCAGGTAAGTTAGCTTCTCTGTGCTTCAGACTGCTCTTCACAGTAAGGGTAATAACACTGCCTACCTTGTGGAGTTGTGAGTGGTTAATGAGGTGACTCTGAGTACTTGCTTCATGTCTGGGCATTGTATTGGTAGTATATCTTTTTTTTCTGAGATAGTTTTTTCTTTAATTTTTTTATTTTAACATAGTTGTAGATTCACTTACAGTTATAAATATTATGTGGAGATGGTGTACACTTTACCCAGTTTCTCCCAGTGGTAATGTCTTGCAAAGCTATAATACAGTATCACAAACAGGATACTGACATTTATATAGTCAGAATGTAGAACAGTTCCATCACCACACAGATCTCTTATGTTGTCCTTTCATAGTCACATTCATTTTCCTCCCACCTATCCAATCCCTAATCCCTGGCAACCACTACGTATTTGTTCTCCATTTCTATAATTTTATTTCAAACTCAAGTGTGGTACATAAATGTAATCATATAGTATATGACCTTTTGGGATTGACTGACTGTGTTCACTTAGCATAATTCTTTGGAGATTCATTCAAATTGTTGCATGTATCAACAATACATTCTTTTTTATTGCTGAATATTATTCTATGGTATGGATGTACCACAGTTTGTTTAACTATACAACCCATCGAAGGACAACTGGGTTGTTTCCAGGTGTTGGCTGTTACAAAGAAGGCTACTATAAACATTTGTGTTCAGGTTTTTGAGTGATTATAAGTCTTTAGATTTCTTGGATTAAGCCCTCAGAAATATAATTGCCAGTTTGCATTGTAGTTGCTTGATTCATTTTTTTTTTGTTTTGTATTGTTTTTAATCCTCACCTGAGGAAATTTTTCTGTTTCTCTTCAGATAGAGTGGGAGGGAGGGAGAGGGAGAGAGGGAGAGAGTGACAGAGAGAGAAACATCAATGTGAGAGAGACACATCGACTGGTCCCTTCCCACACGACCCCAACCAGGACTGGGGATGAACCGCAACCGAGGTACGTGCCCTTGACCAGAATTGAACTTGTGACTCATTGGTCTGCAGGCCAACGCTCTAACTGCTGAATCAAACCGGCTAGGGCCATGATTAATTTTTATAAAAGAAAATACCTAATTTTTTTTTTCACACAACTAGACCATTTTATATTCCCGTCAGGACTGTGTGAGTGATTCAGTTTCTCTGCATACTTGCCAGCATTTAGTGTTCTCACTGTTTTTTATTTTAGCCATTCTGATAGCTGTGTAGTAATGTTGATTCTCTTTCATGTGCTTATTAGCCCTCTGTATATCTTCTTTTTTTTCTTTTTAAAACTATCTTTATTGTTTGTATTACAGATGTCACCCCCTCCCCCTCCATTGTCTCCCTCCTCCCACCTCCCTCCTGCCTTCCTCACACTATTATCTGTGTCCATTGGTTATGCATATATGCATATAAGTTCTTTGGTTTATCTCTTTCTGCCCTCCCTCCCCCTTCCCTTTGAGATTTATCAGTCTAACAGCCAATCTGTACTTCTAAATTCCTTCACCTTTTTCACCCATCCCCCGCAGCCCCCTCCCATTTTGCAACCAAAAAAAGTTCTCTGTATCTATAAGTCTGTTTCTGTTCTGCTTGCTCATTTTGTTTGTAGATTCAGTTGTTTAAAAACATTTTTTTTTCTTTATTGATTTTAGAGAGAGAGGAAGGGAGAGGGAGAGAGAGATAGAAACATCGATGAGAGAGAACATCGACTGGCCGCCTCCTGCATGCTCCCCACTGGGGATCGGGCCCACATACTGGGCATGTGTCCTGACTGGGAATCGAACTGGCAACCTCTTGGTGCATGGGTTGATCCTCAACCACTGAGCCACACTGGCTGGACTGTAGATTCAAGTGTTGATAGATATGTATTAATTGCCATTTTGTTGTTCATATTTTTGTTCTTCTTCTTCAAGGAGACCTGTCAACATTTCAGATAATACTGGTTTGGTGGTGATGAACTCCTTTAGCTTTTCTTGTCTGGGAAACTCTATATGTCCATTGATTCTAAATGATAGCTTTGCAGGATAGAGTAATATTGGTTGTAGGTTGTTGTTTTCCATCACTTTGAATATCTCTTGCCATTCCTTTCTGGCCTGCAAAGATTCTTTTGAGAAATCAGCTGACAGTCTTATGGGAGCTTCCTTGTAGGTAACTAACTGCTTTTCTCTTGCTGCTTTTAAGATTCTCTCTTAGTCTTTAATCTTTTGCATTTTGATGATGATGTGTCTTGGTGTGGACCTCTTTGGCTTCACCTTGTTTGGAACTCTCTGTGCTTTCTGGACTTGTATGTGTGTTTCCTTCGCCAAGTTAGGGAAGTTTCCTGTCATTATTTTTTCAAACAGGTTTTCAATTTCTTGCTCTCTCTCTTCTCCTTCTGGCACCCTCATGATGCGAATGTTGGTACACTTGAAGTTGTCCCAGAGGCTCCTTACACTATCTTCATTTTTTTGGATTCTTTGTTCTGACTGGATGTTTTTTGCTTTCTTACATTCCAAATCAATGGTTTGCTTAGCTTTATCTACTCCACTATTGATTCCCTGTAAATTATTCTTTATTTCATCAAACAACAAGTTGTTGGCGAGAGTGTGGAGATAAGGGGACTCTGGTACACTGCTGGTGGGAATGCAGACTGGTGCAGCCACTATGGAAAACACTATGGTATTACCTCAAAAAATTAAAAATTGAGTTGCCATTTGACCCAGTGATCCCACTTCTAAGAATATACCCTAAGAAGCCTGAAACACCAATCAGAAAGAATATATGTACCCCTGTGTTCATAGGAGCACTATTTACAATAGCTAAGATCTGGAAACAGCCCAAGTGTCCATCAGTAGATGAATGGATAAAAAGGCTGTGGTACATATACACAATGGTGTACTATGCAGCTATAAGAAAGAAAGATCTCTTATCCTTTGAGATGACGTGGAGGAACCTGGAAAATATTATCCTAAGTGAAACAAGCCAAGCAAAGAAAGACCAATACCACATGATCTCACTTATTTGTGGAATATAATGAACATAATAGTCTGAGGAATAGGGTAGACCCAGAGACATGGAAGTAGAATACAGACTGACAACCCTCAGAAGAAGGGGTTGTGGGGGGAGGGAAGATAAACCACAGAACTTATATGCATGTACGCATAACCAGTGGACACAGACAACAAAGCCGGGGATGGTATGGGGTGGATGGGGAGGAGAGTGTCAATGGGGGAAAAAAGGAGAAACATCTGTAACAAAAATAAAATAAATAAATAAAAAAAATTATTCTTTATTTTAGTTAGTGCATTGTTTATTTCTGACTGGTCCTTTTTTATGCTCTTGAGGTTCTCACTAAGTTCCTTGAAAATCTCTCTAAGTTCCTTGAGCATCCTTATAAACAGTGTTTTGAACTCTGCATCTGTTAGATTTCTTATCTCTGTTTCATTTAGTTCTTTTTCTGGAGTTTTGTTCTGTTCTTTTATTTGGGACATGTTTGTCTCCTCATTTTGGCTGCCTCCTTGTGTTTGTTTCTATGTATTAGGTAGAGTTGCTATGTTTCCTAGTCTTCTTAGAGTGGCCTATTGTCGTAGGTGTTGTGTAGGGTCCATTGGCACAGCCTCCCTGGTCACCCTAGCTGGGCCCTTGAGGTACACCCCTAGTGTGGACTGTACACCCTTCTGTTGTAATTGAGTCTTGATTGCTGTTGACATGTTAACGGGAAGGATTTACTCAGGCTGATCAGCTGCAAGGACTGGCTGTGCCCACTGACCACTGACCTCTGATACCTTGGAAGATCAGCTGTGTAGGGACCCAGCACACAGAGCAAGACTTACATCAGCAGGGCTCTGGTACCCACAGACTCTATTTCTTGAGTGTGTCACTTGTGGAGATGGTTAGGTGGTGGTACTTTGATGTGGTCCCAAGCTGTCCACTGGGTGTGCTGGCTTTGGGGCAAGGTCAGCCTCTACCTGTGTTCTACCCCGTGCTACCAGACATAAGCTACAAAGTGATCTGCCAGTGGCTGCTTCTTGTGGGCTTGGAGGTGCCCGGGCAAAGCCAAGCTGTGTACCCAAAGGTGGTTGTTCCTAGTGCCAAGCCTGGGGCCACTTAGTAAGAGGTATGGGGCTTGCTGTGGCCAGATGCTGCTTGTTTGAGAGAATTTAGGAAAATAATAGAGTTGCATCTTAATTGTCATATAATAATGTTATGTCTGATTGGTTAATTCTTGGTACCAGAAGTCCTTATATACAAGTGTAGGCACCTGATTTTTTAAAAAGTCACTTTGGAGCAAAAAGGGTAGGCAATTACTGTTGTTATTTTTTTTGTAAATCAATCAACACTATACCTATTTTTTTGTCAGATTGGCAAAAAATATATTTTTGGTGTGCCGCATAATTTTGTAATTAGTTTATGTGTGCCATAGCACTCTACTATCATCTGATACCTAGTTCATATTCTGATTTCCCTAGTTCCCCAAATGCCTTGCAGCTGGTTTGACAAATAAGATCTAAACAAGAACTTGAATTGCATTTAGTTGTTATACTGTTAATTTTCCTTTGATCTTGAATAGTTCCTCTCCCACTTTTTTCTCCATGATACTGATTTGTTGAAGACAGTTCCATTTGAACCTTGGAATGTCCCACTATCATTGGGGTTTGTCTTATTGTTTCCTTATGTCTCTTTATCATTGCATTTTCTGTAAGCAAAGTTAAATCTGAATTTTTTACAGGATTTAAGTTCAGCAAGGATATTTTATAGGTGATGCTATGTTAAACAGAATCTCTGATGGACTCATAAGCTTATATCATTTTTACCTTTTTTACGTGATGAAGATGCCTTCTGCATCCTGTGATACCCTACTGGATGACATAGAAGATATTGTGTCACAGCAAGATTCAAAGCCACAAGATAGGCATTTCGCAAGAAAGCACATTGTTCCAAAAGTTCGAAGACGAAATACCCAAAAACATTTGCGAGAGGAAGACAGTCCACCAAGTGATAGGTAAGTGTTAAGCTTTTTTTTAAAATTCAGTTTCATTCGAGTGGAGAAGCTGGTAGTACTAGTCTATGTGATATACCTAATGTCTCTTTTAAAAAAATCTTTGAACTTTTTGACAAGAAATATATAGGTTTATTTATTTCTTTATTTAAAAAAATTTTTTTTTCTATATTGATTGTAGAGAATGAGGAAGGGAAAAGAAGAGAGAGAGAAACGTTGATGAGTGAGAACATACATTGGCTGCCTCCTGCATGCCCCCCACTGGGGACTTGGCCCATAACCTGGGCATGTGCCCTGACCAGAAATCGAACCGGCGACCTCTTGGTGCATGGGTCGATGCTCAACCACTGAGCCACACTGGCCGGGGTAGATTTTTTATTTTATTTGAATGTTTTTTAATTTGGCAAAGTAATTTTGTATGTTCCTTGAAGGCAAGGCCTAGGACAGTATTGGGCATATAGATAGGACCCTCTCCCCCATCTCTTTGATATTACTGTATTTGGTATATAGTTTTGCATTACTTCCAAATTAAAATTTTTATTGGAATTCACGGTTCTTATGAGACAGTGGTGGTTTGGGCATTTGATTTTTCTTAGCAAATTTACAAATACTTGTGGTTCTGATAAAGGCATTGGGCACAAATGAATAATTGTGCCGTTTGCGTTATTAGATTTCTAGCCCCCAGTACACCTAGCCAGAAATGATTATGTATTTGTATAGTTTTAATATGCCAAATCTATGTATTTAGTAAATTGTTGGAAATTTTAGTATACTCAATTAGTTTTTTGGAACATTAAGCTTTTAAAATCTATAGACTTAAAATTTGCTTCTATTTTAAAAATGACTGAAGTTTATCAAATTTGTCCTGAACATGTCCTAAAGGTAATTTCTGTCTAATTATAAATTATTAGGGCAATCCAAGATGAAACTCCTTTTTTCCACCTAAACTATTATATTTTCGGACTCTACTTTTATGTATGAAATACTTTTAATAAATAACTTGTGAATAGGTTGCAGTGAAAAAAAAAAAAAATATATATATATATATAGCATAATATACCCAGAAATCCTCTAGTGCTTTTTATTTTTAAAATCCTTTAATAAGACTTACTCTTTTTTTTATTGATTATTTAATAGCACTATTCCAGGCATACAGAAAATTTGGATACGAACATGGGGTTGTTCTCATAATAATTCAGATGGAGAATATATGGCTGGACAACTAGCTGCTTATGGATATAAAATTACAGGTAATAAGATCTGTAATGTACTTTATTGATGAAATTTTTCAGAGCTAAGTTTTTTAGAGGTATGTATTTTAACTTCAGCAAATAAGGGATATTTTAGCATAACTTAATGATTTTTAAGGCAAACAAAAAGATTATTATATATTCATTGCCTACATAACTATGGATTTCATATTTTTAAAAAAGCTTTAAAAACTATTTTGATTTGTTTAGACTTACAGAAACGTAGTAAAAGTACTGAGTTCGCATCATATTCCTTCTCCCATCTTCTTCTAATGTTAACATCTTACATAATTATAGTATAATTAATGAACTAGGAAGTTAACATTAGTGCAGTACTGTTATCTAAACTACAGATCTTTTTTGATTTTTGCTAGTTTCCCCATTTATGTCCTTTTTCTCTTCCAGGATCCAATCTAGGATCTAACCTTCCATTTATTTGTAATGTCTCATTAGTCTCCTCCAATCTGTGACAGTCCTCAGTTTCTTCTTGTCTTTTATGCCCTTGAACTTCTGAAGAAAACTGATTAGTCATTTTGTAGAATGTCCCTCAACTTGGGTTTGTCTGATGTTTTGTCATGATTAGAATAAGGTTATATGTGCATTTTTGGCAAGAAGAGCACAGAAGCCATACTATATCATTCTCAGTGCATCATATCGGGGTTCATGATGTCAGTATATCTTATTACTAGTGTGCCAACCCTTGTCTGCCAGATTGCTCCACAGTGAAGTTAATATTTTTCTCATTGTAATGAGTAAATAACCCTCTTTCTCAGCCTTTTTGTCTACTAATTCTAGTGTCTGTCCATGGATCTTCTCTGCCGCAGTTATTACTGCAGTATTTCCTTAGTGATGATTTTTTGTTTTCTTTCATCCACATCCATTAATTGGAATTCTTGTGTAAGGAAGCTATTGTTTCTCATTTACTTATGTCAGTATGGACTCATGGATTTTTTTTTATTCTGTGAGAGTTAGTCTGGTACTATCATTACTTATTTTACTGCTTATTGTTTAAACTTTGATCATAGGACCTCATTCAGGCTGACTCCTGGGTTTTCTTAACATGCTCCCATTCTTTATTGAGCATTTTCTTATTTTCTGCACCTCAAGATATTCTATTCTCATATTTTTCCTTCCCCAGCCTTGGAAGCACCACTTTTCCAAGGAGCCCCGATCCCTTTCATTGGGATAATTATGTTTAGAAGTAGATCGAAGGTCTGGATGCTAGGTGTGCTCATTGTCACTGTGAAGCCGTGCTTCTGGGTCCTCTCCTGTGGACTGAGCTAAGAAATATGTGCATTGACGTCACATGCACACATCTATAGCTGTTACTGGATCTATCTGTATGTATATTAAATGGCACCATAATTTGAATTCTTTGTGACAGGCACTGGCCTAGTGCTTGCTTAGTTCTCATGATATGAGGAAATGTTGGTATCCCTACTTCACAAGTGAGAATGCAGCGATTGTGTCTTAAATTATACAGGCAGTGAATTCCCTGTCACCCCAAGATACTGCTCTTAACCACTCTTCCATACCTTGCAGTTGCCTTTGCATGTTTAATGGGCAAGTCCTAGCTTCAAGATAGCATGTGAGGATGGGGGAGGACTTGCTCCTTTCATAGCATTATTTTTTTTCATTAACTAAATTGACCATGTGTTATTAACTTTATTTTTTTGATAACTTATTTTTTAGACAGGAAAATTGGTCTTTTAAAAATAATTTAAAAAAATTTATTGATTTTTACACAGAGAGAAAAAGATTTATTGCTCCACTTATTCATTTATTGGTTGATTCTTGTATGTGCCCTGATGGGAAATCGAACTTGCAACCTTGGTGTATCGGGATGATGCTCTAATCAACTGGACTACCCTGCCAGGGTGCAAAATTTGTCGTAATACTTTTGTTTTTTAGGTAAAAGTACTCAACATATGTTTTAAGAATTACTTCTCTGTACTCATTAGTAATTTTTAGTATAATTTAGCTTGTGCTTGCCTTACATTCTTATGGTGCTAGTTTGAGTATTAAGAAAATATCCTTTAAGATAATTCCCTAATAGGAAATACAGTCAATAATATTGTAATAACTATGTATGGCACCAGGTGGATACTGGAAATATTGGGGGGAGGAAACACTTTGTAAAGTATATGACTATCTAATCACTACGCTGTACAAGTGAAACTGAGAAATAATATTGAATCTAAACTATTATTGAAAAATAAAATTAAAAAAAAGGTAATTTCCTAAAACATTAAAAAAAATCAGCTTGACTTTCCTTAGGTAATATTAATTATCTAACACTTTTAAATTTTTAGTTCATTAGCAGTTTGTGTTTGGTCTTATAACACTACTTTTGTATGTAAAATAATGGCCCTGATGTGTTTGCATAAGAATATTAAGCTTTGTTATGTACACCTAATTTTGGCTTCCTGTTTGGGAATAGTAGAAAGGGAGAATTAAGGAAGCAGTCACTTGAATATAGAATTAATTTTTCTTATTAATGTAGTATATTACTTTTATATTCTTTCATTACTTGTATAAATGTATATTAGTTTTATATGCTGTTGATTGTCCCCACTTTAGAAATGCATAGTCAGTTTTTAATTTTTAATTCCAGTCTGGCTTGCTGCAGGACCACTTTTCTCACTTGTCTAGGTGCTGTGGGCCCAGGAACATGAGCAACATTAGCTCTGTAAAACGTTAGGAAGGAAATCTCTACCGATTTTATATTTAGATTCAGTATAAGATATGAATGATTTCTGGATTACCTAGCCTAGTAATCTCTTTCATTATTGTGGAATAGTGGAAGTTAATAAAAATTTTATTGCTTAATAATTTGTAGTGTTTTTTAAGTCAAAATATAGACCTAAAATAATTTTCATTCAACTGCATGATTAAAATAGGTATAAAATATCAATTATGTATAATGTACACAGAGATTATTGAAAACAATATACAGAGAAATTCAAAATTAGCTCTCAATTACTAATAGTAGATATTTATACTATTTGAAGAAGAAAGATTATGTGGGCATATACTTGAAATTGCTGCTTTTAACTATGTGATACCAGGAATATAATTATCTTGTAGTAAAACCTCACAGAGGCTTATTCAGTGAGGACTTGTTAGGGCTTGTTCATTATCTCTTTTAAACCCTTCTTACTTTGAGGAAAAAGGTGGTTCATAACTTATAAAATAGTGCCTGCTTGCTTCTCATTTAAAAGAATGAAACCTACAGGACAAAAGGGGTCCATTCACCTGTGCATATCAAAGCCAGTCAAACATGGACAGGAATTTGCAGCAAAGAAAGTAGAGGTTTATTAGATGAGGAAATGGTGCCAAGCCCAGAGTCACAGGTAAGCTAGTGCTCAAAGACCTTGCTCCCGGTGGCTTCCAGTGGATGGGTTATATGGGGGGAAAATCAGTGATCATGGTGACTAAAAGACTGGGTGTCTTGGGCTGTACTGATTGGTTGGGACCATGATAGGGAGTAGTTGGTCCCTGTATCAGGTCTTGAGGTCTTCTGTCTGTTTTCATGAGGGTGTGCTCTGTAGAACCCTTCTGCATTCATTGGCTTGGAGCTGAAACACAACTGAGGTCAAGATGTTATCTTTAGCTTGACCAAGATTCTGTTTCTGTGGTCAACAGACCCGAGGTTTTGTTCTTAAGACAGTTTGATACTGCCTGGAACCCCCCTGTCCTGTGGGCTTAATGATTAAGGGAGTGGACATGCTAGGGAGAAGGGGGCAGGTGAGTCAGGGTGGCGGATGAGGCTAGTTTGAATCAACAGGAAAGAAAGGAAAAAAGGTCATATTAAAGAAATGAAGTTTCTGCACGGTTACACTACTGAGAAATGATGTCTTTTCCGTAAACTCAGAACAATTGAATCATGGATACATGTTTGCATGATACAGTTAGATTAGTATCATGGAAAGCAATTACACTGACCCTGTAGGTACAGTATGTCAATGTTAAGAAACATTCAAACCTTGAAATAATTTTTATGAGTTTGAGTCAAACTGACGATAATTGCCAGGAAACAAAATCTCAACGGATTGAGAAAATCCTCCAGAGAATGGCAGTTTTATATCTTATTTTATACATTGCAATAAAAAAAGAAGACATAAATTGGTTACATGAAATCCATTGGTGATAGATTAGGGAGGTGGCAAAAAGCAAAGCTTGGAAACCTCTGGGATTTGATAAAAAGTAAAATGATAGACACATACTTCTTTTACATACATGGGTGCAGGATAGTTAGCAGTCAACAATTAAATAATGAAGGGATTTATGGTTTCTGCTCTGATGTGTACCTGTTTTTTGAGGGCTCTGGGAGAAAAAATGACTTTGACATTCCCAAGGTATGTTGTAGTAGATGCAAAGAGATAACAGACAGGCTCAGTTAAGGTGAAAATTGACCCTTGCCAGGGAATATTCTAGCCTAGGACATGACTACCTGCCATAAACTACTTTTAGTTAAAAATTTTTAATTTCAGATGATCCTTTGTGGTTATTTTAGCTCTCTGAGTTGGTAAGGCGGCCACATAGGATTCCCCTGAGCTTGTCAGGTTTAGTATTTGGCCTCTTTTGGTCCACAAGTGGCATTTTAAAGAAATGTGTTTTGTTTATTTTATTACATATTTCTAATCCTCACCCAAAGTTTTTTTTTTTTTTTTTCGATTTTAGAAAGAGAGGGAGGGAAAGAGAGAAACATCGATCAATGTCCTCTTGTATACGTCCCAATTGGGGATCGAACCAGCAACCTAAGTATGTGCCCTGACTGGGAATTGGACCCATCACCTTTTGGTGTATGGGATGGTGCTCCAACCAACTGAGCCAGCCACTGGGCGAGGGCTAAAGAAATTCCATGAGTCTGTTCTCCAAGTAAGCAATTTTTGTAGATTATAATGCTGGCTTTGATTATTGTTTTTGGATTCTTTTGGAGATGTTGGTAAATCATTTTTATTGTTCTCATTGGTGGCAAAACAGATCTTCATATCTTT